GCCTCATTGCGTTGCCTACTCCTCGGCGCGCGAGGCATCGCGCTCCTCGTCCATCTCTCACACGCTGGCCACCGCCCCCCCTACTCCTAGTCACGTGCGGCATGGGTCGTCCACTTCGTACGCGAGCGCCATCGCGCGGTCCCCGCGCTCGCCACCTATCCCGCGCGTGTGCCTCCCGCATTCCTAAGCCTCCGAGGGTTAGGTCCCCGCCCGCGTCCGGACTCCACTCGCGCGCCCATGCGCGCGCCCCTTCATCGCTTCCCAGGCCCCGCGCTTCCCGGCCACCGTCCGCGCCCCAATAGCCTACGGCGCACCCTATCGCGTCCGCTACTCCGCGCGTCGCCTCCCTCGCCTGCGGGCTCCGATCACCTCCTACGCATCCTTGTGCGCCCGCTGCGTTGCCCGTATCGCTCACTCCCGCAAACTACCCATCCGCGCCCTTATCGCGTCCCGTCGTTACGCCACCGAACGCCAACGCGTCCCAGTCGACGTCCGCGACTTGCCCGCCAACCAAACTCCCGCGTACATCATCCTGTTCCGTCCAACCGCGCCCATCATGAGCCGATGCGCGCCATTCGCCCACTAGCCGATCGTCGTCGCCCTTCTCGTCGGTGATCGTCATTGTTTGTTCGAGCCATGGGTCCCAACCCTTCAACCTCTCACTATCGTCCGCCGGTATCCACCATCCACCTTCACCCCTTTGCAAACCACTTCGCCAAACCATCAAGCCTTATGCGCATCTACGCCAATGCGCGTGTACGCGCCCTTCTTGAATGCGCCCTTTCTTGTGTACTTGTGCACCTCGCATACGAGCTCGTACCCGTCTCTTAGGCCATGCGTGCGTCGTTTTGGCCCTATTTTCAGCCTCCTCGGGTTGTCTTGGCTCTCGGCCCTTCTTGTCGTCGGGGGTCAAAACCCACTTACGCATCATTCCCGCCCCCTTTGAGAATGTCCTTGTCCTCAAGGACTCATCCTCGACCATCCAAACATCGGGCACATCCTCTTCGACCATACGCACATACCAATCACGGTCCCCATCGACCTCGAGCATGATCTCTTCCTCGATGTCGACCACTTCGGCTCCATTGAATTTACCATAGGGTTATACGTCTAGTATAGGCGGGCCTAAGTAGTCGGTCGCCACTTCCTCGTCCATGAACAAGTCGCCGAACGTAGGTGGATCCTTGTACTCGACTTGTTCGACTATGAACTCGGTTACTTCGTCTTTGACATAGCCTGGTAGATCGAACGTAAACATGGCCTCTTCGTTGACGAACCCCTCCATGATCTTGAGTTGCTTCTTTTCTAGATCTCTTCGCTCGTGCAACTCCTCCAAATACTCTTGCTCCCAAGGGGTTAATTCCCTCTTCAAACCTTCGAGATATTCAAGATCCTCCAAATCCATCTCATCCAATGGCACATAAGACATATTTTTTTTTTAAGACTCTTAAAAAAAATCAAAAAATAAATGAAAAATTCGAACAGGAATTTCAAAAATTTCGACCCAAAAATAAGAGAAATTCGGCCCCTCAACAAAAGGTAATAACCGAAAAAAAATCAAACAAAGGACTAGATGACACTTTTTTTTTATTACTCTCAAAATTTTTCGAAAATTTGAGGAAAAATTTGAAAAACTCGAACAAAAGAAACCAAAAAATCGAACCAAAAAGAAAAAGAATGGGATAGAAAAAGTTCACGAACACCCAATCGATCACTCTCAATAAAAGCACCAATGATGAAAAATCGGGTGTTGCGTTCCCTCGACTTGTCTCGATCACGGCTTCGCCACGGCCTTTCTCTCGACGATAGGTGTGATCGACTCGGTTATTAGCCAAACTCTCTCACGATACTTGAGTTCACTCGGGTATTAGCCTCGCTACACTCTCGAAATAGATCGGGTCTTAGCCTCTCTAAATCGTTGAACTGGCTTGGGTCTTAGCCTCACCAATTCGGTTGCATGATCGAACTCTCACGAATCCTAACACACGGTTTCGAACAAACGTTATTTTCTCTTTCATCAAATCCAAGACATCCAAAACAATGAGGGAAGACCCCTATTTATAGATCCTAACTATGACTAATTCTAATCTACCTAGGAAACATATTAAAGCAATAAAATATTAAATTCCTAAACATTCTAGATATTATTGTGCAAGAAGGAAACTAAATATCTAGAGTCCTAAATTGACTAGATCTTGATCTTGCTTGGCTTGCACTCCAAACAATTCCAATCCACACGCCCCAATTATTTTCGGCCGCCTCATTGCGTTGCCTACTCCTCGGCGCGCGAGGCATCGCGCGCCTCGTCCGTCTCGCACACGCTGGCCACCGCCCCCA